CATACTCCTTCTCTTATTTTTCTTATTTGATTTATATTCTCATTTAAACTCAACTTTATGTATATATGTATAATTTTATTTTATTTTAATAATAAATAAAATTATTTAAATAATATCAAAGAAGCAAATCTATTCTTTTTACCAGTTTTATCATGTCATGTTATAGTCATACAAAACACAAGACAACCAGTTATGAGTCGTTTACCTAAACACTTACCCGATAAGCACTTAAAGATGAATTCAACTCTATTGCTTACTTATCGGGTAAGATTTTAGTTTATCAAAACGACATCGTATGTAACAATTTACCCGGTAAACGCTAACCGTGGTAAGAGTCTTTCCCATCACTTACCGGGTAAGACTTTCGGTACGTGTCTTCGCTGTTACCAAATAAGATTCTTGTTTCTTGTTATATTAATCCGGTAAGGGAATTTGACTTGGTAAACGCTTATCCGAATAAGCATTTGATAAACAGCCCCTTAATCATGTTTGTGCAATCCAGTTTTATTCACGTTTAATTTGTACATCAAACATTATCTTAGATCAACTCATTTCATCCAGCCTACGACTCGCTTAATATATTACTCATCCATCCATTTTACAATAATCTACTTTGACCCATTATTTAGGTTTACTTTTAAATTTTTATCAAATTATATCTTATCATAATCTCATTTACATGTAGACATATATGTACATTAATAGCAATATACATACATATATGTGTGTGTGTATATATATATATATATATATATATAAATACACACACACATATGTGTAGTGTGTGTATATATCAAGTTATATTTAGTTGTCTCTATATGCCGCCCTTAATACTTGTAGCGTCCACTTGTCACTATCTAACTGGTTTCCACCCCAACCCTGTCTCTTCTTATTACATCACCAGCGGTACCGCTACATATATATCACTACATTTTACCTATCTTGTCAACTATAAAGAAACACATTATTTTATTACCATTTTTTAATATTATTATATGTAATCTTTTTATTTTAAATAGCGTCGGTTATAATTAACGGACAAAATCAGCATTTAATATCAAAATTTGAGGGTTTTATGCCAAATTAAGAGCTAATAGTAGTTTTGGTTGATACAAGTTGGTATAGATACGCCTAACAGGAGTCTAGTTATCTGTTTTTTCCTCCAATTTTTAAAAGAAAAAGCTTGTAAGATTGAAGATATGAAATGAAGATGGTTTTCGCAGTTACGCAACTACCATTCAATATTGAAAGGGACATGTTAGTGGGAAAAAACAAATAAACACATTAGAGAAGATAACATAGAACATATAATACATAAATCATATTCCACAACACGTATATCGTATAGCAAATCTAGGGTTAGGGTTTGATTATTGGTTCGTAGTTAATCATAAAATTCAAGGTCATATGACACAGATGTTAGTTCAAAACCACAAAGGTGTTGTCTGATTGGTTTGAACTTGGCTCCAAAGATCAAAAGTTTCAGGAGGTCTCAGGTTCAAATCCAATGAGGAATAAAAATCCTCTTGTGGCAACGGAGGTTCAAATGCGGTGACTCCGGGCTATCTGCAAAGCAGGTGGTCACCCTGGGATTAGTCGGCTCGCATAGCGGGTTGGATATCCAGGTTAATAAAAAAAATCACTTGAGAATTCATCAGATTATGTAACACGGAACATGAAAAATCACAGAGTTAAACCATTTGGAATATAAAAAAGGAGAAATTAGGTCAGGATCGATGTTTGATTACTTATTCATATCTAATAAAAAAATCACAGTTCACAAGAGATAGAGCTATCGACAACTTCTTCATTGACGACGAACAAATGAGGTTGGAGTGAGGAACTGAGGTAACAACCATAGGAAAAAGGAAAGTCAACAGGATCGATGATAGTGATAAGATGTTTAATTCAAAATATGGAGTATCGTGTAATGTATATGACGAATTGATGATGAGAGTTGAGACGATCAATTCGTTATAGTAATAGAGTTACGGTAAATGGTAAATTACTAGCTAAAACGGTAAATGGTAATTAGTAATTACAATAATAAGGGTAAGGTAAATGGTAAATTACTAAATTGGTACAATACTAGCATGACATTTGAAATTGTATACTAATACAGCAACAACAATCCTGAACTGATACAAAACATTTGGTCTACCAATTTAATTGGTACCAGTTGATAACATGTTGGTTGGTGCCACTTGATACAGATTTAACATCTGGTTATTTTCCCCAAATTGGTAATTACATGTACATATATCTAATTACAAACATTATCAAAATCTTTATTGATTCCTTTTTTTGCATGTTAAATGACACATGTGATTAGGTTTAAGTAATAGCATGCTGAAATCAAAATAACTCAAAATGTACATGTTAACGTTCGTGTGGTGTCCCTTAACGTTCAAGAACATTTGATTAAGCTACGCTAACCAATTATTTTAGCCCATATCTTCGAAACTACATTTTCTGCCACGTACTACACTTTTAGCCACCTTTTATTCAGGGAAGACCTAAATCTTTTTTTTTTAAGTATATAACATTTATATACAATAAATACCACACATACTCCTTATCTTTTGTGAGGTTTGAACCATTAATCTTTTGTGGATTGACCAATACCAGTAACACAAATACCGTAGGCTAATTACTTTTTAATACTTGAATTTTTTAAGATACAAATATTAACATCGACGTTGAAAGTGGATTTGCAGAACTAGAATCTTAAGAAAATAATACAACAAAATACCTAAAAATATGAATAACTTTAAATTCGATATTTTTACAACATTATTACGTTTTTTTAACAATTCCACGTAAAAGACCGATATATTATTATAACACAACTAAAAATTAATTTATTGTTTTTTTTTTGAAAAGTAACTTTAAGACCATAATCATTTAATCAAGGATACGGGAGTTACTATTATTCTGATTTCAAATTTTACAATATATTTTATTCAGTTTGAAAGTCTTTTGCAAAATCTACGAACATAATCCAAAATTTCATAAACAGGTTTTTTAAAGTATATTATATACATATACGATAATTAAAATCGTTCATAGTTCTCGCTTTTTAACGAGACTTGAATCATTCATCTATAACAAGGTTGGGTTACGACGTACCATTAGACAAACAGGACCTTTTGCTCACCCTTTTTACAAAATAAACCAATAATAATCGAAAAAGATTTGAGAAAAGGTACCAATAGCAAAAAAAGGGTTTGCCTTAATTTTTTTTTTATAAAAAAAGTGGAACATATTCCCTTTTTGTATAACCATGTGTTTGTAGGTCAGCTTACATAAACCGATTAATCAGATATTTTTAAAAGGATTTCTTAAAATCTTAGTTTAAATTCAATTATTTGGTCTTAAAAACTCAAAATCAACATCATTAAACACCGTAAAATTATTTATTACAAGTATAATTTGCAATAATGGAATTTGGCGTAGATGAAATGGGAAGATAAATTAGTCAAAATTGTCCTAACTTTATTGGAAAGAAATAGAGTAATTTCCATTGTTGGGTTTCTCAAAAAAGTGTACGGACAGAATCTTGAAATAAGGAAATAGGGGTTATTTTGTGGGTGGAATCGTCCCAAAAGAAACCCTCCATTCAACTGCAAAAAAAATCCCCACAATTTTGTATGATTTTCCAGTTGACAACAAAGAAGCCAAACACAAAATAAAACTGCAGATTTTCATCATCATTCCAACTTACAATTACAGCCTTCGTCTAAATCTTATAACTTTTTACCACTAATTACTACTGTAAAAACTCATCACAAGATTCTTAATTTACTGCTCTCTTCATCTTCATCTGGTACCGCCATGTGAGAAGCATTTGTAACCCCACTTGAACCAGAGGATGATAAAGCTCCTTCTGAATTCAAACCACCATCTTTTGGAGTTGGACCAGCCAAAAATTCATAGAAAATTGGGGATGTTTTCTCAATTGTATCCTTAACCTCTTCTTCCTCTTTCTTCTCACCATTTCTGCCTCTTTTCTTCAAGAAAATTCTGCAAAGCACCCACTTTCCAGTTTCCTGCATAAGAATCCAACTGAATTTGTCAAAAAAATTTACTTCCTTTTTGTCTGTTGTAAAAAGACTAAAGAATGGTTTGTGGGTTTAATTTTTTACCTGGCTCGGGTTGAGGGTAGGGTTCGCAACAAGTCGATACTCATGCATGATCCAATCGGTTTTAGACCCGGTTGGGGGTTTCCCCCGGTAGAAAACCAGAGTTTTCTTGGTACCAACAACTTGATTGTTTCGAGAATTAACGATTTGCTTATCCAAACCAGTAGCTTTCCAGTAACCCGAAAGAGTGGAGCGATTGGATCGTTTTCCATTTGGGTATTTGATTTCCATGGTGCTAAAGAAGAATCTCTCTTGCTCCGAATCCCCTAAACCAAACATCCTCATCAAAAACCCACCTCACATTGTTGCTGTTGTTGTCGTTTTACAGAAATCAAAAAAGAGAAATAAAAGTACCTGGTAAATCCCATGGATCGGACCTGCAAACATCAGCCTCAGGGATGATGGAGGCTGGCAGAGGGTGAGACTGTACCTTTCGCTTTAAGTATTGTACGACAAGCTCCTCATCAGTTGGGTGAAACCTAAAGCCAGGAGGCAATCGAAGGACGCCATTGTTGAGGAAATTAAGCTTGTCCATTTGAAAGAAACGAAAGGAATGGAAGGAGGAGATTGGATTCTAGGGTTGGTGCTGAAATTGAAACCCCATTTGTGATGGTAAAGAGATGAGAGAAAAGGGTGTGGGGGTGTAAGAAGGAAAGTAAGGCGTCTTTATATAATAGTAAAGAGGGCAGAAGGAGGAGGGAGGAAGAGGAGGAGGAGGAGAGATGAAGAAGGACGAATGTGTTTTGCGTGAACCGGACTCAATCTCCTCTTCCCCTTTGACGCAATTTATTTTTTTAAATATTTGGAAACGCAAAATATAAACAAATCCGTCTCAGACTCATTTTTCAAACAAATTAAATATTTTTATATTCTAATTTCGATGTTGTCTCTTCATGTTAACATCCATTTTTTTTAATAATTTAATTCATATTATCTTTTATATTTTAAATATTTAAATATAAATTACGTTATCAAATTAACATATATATATATATATATTTTTTTTAATAAAAATCATATAATTTTATTAATGTAATTGAATAAAATAATTATTTCTCTTTCTTTATTTTTCTTCCAAGTTTTAGAGACCACTAGTTGTGTACCCGTGCAATGCGACGGAAGCCGTGAGCTTTAACGATTTTTTTTAAGTTTCATTGGTTTTATTAGAGAAGATTTGACGATGATATAAGTTACACTTGGTTTTTACATATTAATACAATTTGAAAAAATAAGAGTTATGGTTCCAATTACAGTCGATCGATGAAAAAAAAATATATGACAATTTAAAATTCAATGTATTTAAAATCCAACATATTTAAACGACTCCATAAATGTGTTTGATTTACACCAAGAGCAAAGAATCAAGAGATCGAGAACGAGACCGAGAATTTTAGAGCAATTGAATGGGATATTAATGGGAAAACTTTTAATAACTTATGGTAAATATCAGTTTGAATCCACCTTGGGGGATGAGAAGAAGACATAGTGGTATGAGAGTGAAGACATGAGTGAAAAGTGTAAAAAATATATTGGAAACATGAAAAGAAAAAATAATAATGTGTATTGGTAACTTGTACTATATGTTATTTTAATTGTAGAATAAGATATTTTAAGACTGAATGCATAAAGTAGTAATACTTAATGCATTATGAGTTGTTTTTAAAACTTTGTCCATTAAAAATTATTTTTAAGACTTTTGATAAATCTGGTTTATAAGGTAATATAGATTATAAAGAATCTGTTAAAGAAATATAGAGGATAAAACATCTATTTTTTTTATTTTATAGAATTTGTTGCAGATGCTCTAATGTTCTTTGACAGATTTTTTAAAATGGATATTTCGAATTTTTTTGCTTCAATAAATCTCTTTAAAAAATAAAAAATAGAGAAAATAAGGGAAGGGAAGGGAAGGGAAGGGAAGGGGGGTGGAGTTGGATTTGGAGGGTAAAAATGGAAAGAAGGTTGTGAAATTCTCCATTTAAAAGATTTTATAATAATGATTACTTGTGAGAGAGAAATTATTTTTTATTCTTTCTTCCAATATTTGGAATTAAATATATATAAAATAAAATTAATATTTTATGAAAGTTAATCCCTAAAATTAAGAAGCCGTTAAAGATGAATATAAATTTTATTTGGAGATTTCGAATTTTGATTCTTTATTTTAAAGAATTTATTGGGTAGACAGTAAGGGGCAATTTACCAAACGTTTACCCGGATAAACGCTTACTAAGTCACATTACCATATCGGATGAATATGGCGAAGATCAAAAAATAAACCCGATAAGAACGAGACAAGGAACAAGAGTCTTACCCGATAAGTGAGGGCAACAACTCTTACCACAATAAGAGCTTATCGTGTAAATTGTTGCATACGGTACCGTTTCGGTGGACTAAATCTTACTCAGTAAGTAAATAATAGTGTTGAATTTTACTGATAAGCATATACCGGATAAGTTTTTGGTAAACGGCCCCTAAAAACATCTTTAATAAATTATTTAAAATGTAGAGTTAAAAGTTAAATGTAAAAAATTATAATTTATTTCAACAACTTCTTCATTTTAAATATTATAATATAAATTGAATTACCGAAATATTCGATACAATTAATAAAATATTATTTTATCTTCTAACTATTTAATTTCAAAGAAATCCATTAGTAGGAAAAACAAAAACAAAACATTTCTTTTTCTAAGGGTATTTTCAACCCAACCACTAAAAAAACACTAAAAATGATGGGTCCTTTAAACAGTAAAAAAAACTCAACTCCAACTATTTATACCTATATTATCTAATAAACTAAATTTATCAAAAGTCTTAAAAACAATTTTTAATGCATAAAGTACTATACAGTTATGTACAAAGTCTTAAAAACAACTAATGATGCATTAAGTATTATTACTTTATGCATTCACTCTTAAAATCTCTTCATCTACAATTAAAATGACATATAGTACAAGTTACCAATGCACATTATTACTTTTTCTTTTCATGTTCTCAATATACTTTTGTCACCTTTCACTCATACCTCTTATATCTTCTCCCCATCCCCCAATCTGATATTCTAACTAATATTTATCATGAGTTATTAAAGTTCTTTCATTCATCTCTCATTCAATTGCTCTAGAACTCTAGGTCTTGCTCTCAGTCTCTTGATTTTTTGCTCTTGGTGTAAATCAAACACATTTGTGGAGTCGTTTATATATGTTGGATTTTAAATATATTAGATTTTCAACTGTCATACAATTTTTTTCATCGATACACTGTAATTGGAACCATAACTCTTATTTATTCAAATCGTATTAATATGTAGAGACCAAATGTAACTTATATCATCTTTAAATCTTCTCTGATAAAACCAGTAAAACTTCAAAATCATTAAAATTCACAGCTCCTACCGCATTGCACGGGTACACAACTAGTACACTAAAAAAAAGAACACTAAAATATTTTTAATAACAAAATAATATATGTATTTATTATTTAAACTATTAATCTATATATATAATTTAATGTTGAATAAAATATCAATATATATTTTTTAGAGACCTACTTTATTGACCTCCAAATATAGAGGCTAACATTTTGGACCTCCATCTTTTTAGTGTTTTCGTGTTGGGTTGGAGATGAAAATGTTCACATTTCTCTTTTGCTTTCCTAATCTTCGAAAAGGTTTTAAAAAATCTGTTAGAGCAAAAATCTTTAAAATCTTCATTTTAAAAAATCTGTTATAGATGTTACTTGTAACATTTTCAATAAAAAATCTAAATTATAAAAATTAAAGATCTGGTTATCTATTTTGTTTCGATATATTATCTGTATGATTCTCTAAAATACAGTATACAAAAAAAAAAATACATGGATCTTCTGGGTGTTTTTTTATAGAACAACCGTCTAATAAGCTAGATTCAAATATAATATTTATAGATAGTTTTAATTCGCAATAACTTTACAAAATTTTATGCACGGTACGTTTTATGTTTGGAGACATATATTTGAGTGATTTTTACACTCAAACTACATGTAACGGAAAAAGGAAGAAATAAAGTTGCAAACGAAGGAAAAAAGTGAACACGGATTTGTTTCACTTCGGGAAAACATGAATGAGTTTTGACAACCGAATAAAAAAGACAAAAGCTAAAAAGCAGATGGTCGGCGGTTTTTATACATGGTATTAATTATTAATTAATTACCGTTGAAAGTTATTTTGTTACGGTAATATTTTATAATTTTTTATCTATCAGCTATTACCGAAGAAATCTCGCATTTAAATATTTGATTGTATTCTTTTTTAAATCGATTACCGCATCAGACATCAGTTTGATCAAACAAGGTAGATGTAAGCATGAGACGAATTCAACTTAGACATACATCAACATTTCTATTTTATATAGGCAATACCATCTCTGAACATATTACGTGTTTATAAAAATATTGATATTTGAACTGGGAACTAAAAAACTGTACAATTACTTCTGTATTCCTAAACTGGTTTGCGTTAATTATGCTAATCGCTCCACTTTTTTGTTATTTTTATACCTTAAAAATCATACGTCTGTTTACATTTCTGTGCAAAAGTTTCATACGTATCTGGAAATTATATATGTAAAAATCTTGATGTTGTGTTATTGCATTGTTAGGTTATTAGGGTTAATGGGCGCGTAAATGAGCATATCATGCTACTTATAGTTATTTGCAACGTGATTATGTACTTTTGATTTAAATTGACATTGAATACGTAAATATAACAACGATTACACTGCACTGGTTATCCGAAGTTAAAAACAAACATTATTTTGTTATTCTTTGGAAATTCTTTTGAAAATGATATGAGAAGTTTATAAGCAAGAAAGTAGATGGTCGGTGATTTCTATATAAGACGTTAGGGACTATTTAATTAATTTAGAAAGTAACTGTATTATTACACAGTTTTTTTTTTGTTGGATCTGTTTTTTACAACTACAGTTAGAACCCTACATTACTACAATCAATCTTTATAAGCTAAAACCGGGTGTAATTTGTTTAATTATTTGACTACACTACTCATAAAATTTGGCATTCAATTGCAAATCCGAACAAGGTAAAATGAAAGCACCATAGAAGTTAAACCTGAACTATACTCCGCCTGATGAATGATTGCGAGTTCAGTCAACATAATGTTTGTAACAAATTTTAGCAGGAAACGTATATAAACCGCTATTCAAAAAGATGTATGTAGGGTTGCTTTCGCAACTTCTGAAACACGTGTTGTTATATGCTCTTAATTAACATCTTAAAAATCGTCACACAATTTCGAAATTATATCTCAACGCTCCATTAATTGTCGAAGATGTATACGTAAGAAGTATGTTGGTATTTGTAATTATTAATATAACACAACGTATAACAAAATTTGAGTTGATTTAGATGTGGTATAATGGTGATTTTGATTTATTAATTAGTTAACAAACTTTTGAATCTTTTTCTATTTTGATACAAATTCACCTAATAATAAAAGTAAAATCTTACGTGACACCAATTTTTTTTTGATGAGTCAGCAATTGGTTTTTAAGTGTGCACAAATTATATGAAACAAAATAAAATAGAAAAAAATCGATTTTTTTTTTATTATTGGACAAAAACAGAAAGTTATTATTTTACTCTTCTCATTACAAAATTATATATATATGGTTGGGTTCATGTAAGACCAAGGGTTTTTCGTGAGACCCGTAAGACCAATTCATGTTCATTGATCAACTTTATAAACTAATGATCTAATGG